GAGAGGTTTGTCAAAATTCATTTGAGACCTATGAGACTTTTTTAAAACACCCAAATTAATGATTTTGAACGTCGACTTTGCACTCAAATTCGTTATTTATACATCATTAAAACGTTTTATTCAGTTGAACTACCGTACATTGCCGGTCACTCCCTTTAAAGCAAACATGAATTGGTGCAATCATAGAGAGCATTCTTTCTATCCCTATTAATTCTAATAAAAGTGATAAAGAACAAATAATTGGAAAAGAATTCTAGGAAGAGAACAACATATTATTTTATTCTTCCTGGCAATTCTCCCAACCTTCTTTCCTAAACCTGAACCTTGTCCAGTTCTCAGAAATATTCAATACAAAATATTGCCAGCTTTATTGGTGGACCATTATGCAGAGATATAAAAAGGAAAGATAAGAGATATTAATAACAGAGGAAAACCAATATTATAATGATAATAGTTTTTATTTGTATAAATTATTAGTAATTGGTAACAAATCAATATCATCATATTTTCATCACGTCTTCACGTTATAGTTCTTATCAAGAAAATTCGAGAATCTAGTAAATTTTATCTTGTAAAAAACCTACAATATATTTCTTCTTGAATCCTGAAATTTGATTGTCAAGGTTTGTAAAGAAAGGAATTGAGTCTCGGGCACAAACTCAGATTTTCTAATCCCCATATCTTTGTAGCCCAATGTTGTAGACCTTAGATATTTCAAACTATGAACTCTGGTAGATCAAATAATCAAAGTTTGAAATATTAAAGGTTAAGACCATCTAGTTGCTAAGATTTAGGGATTAGAAAATTTGAGTTTGTGACAAAGACTCAATTCCTTTGAAATCTATTTTGTGTCCATTCATACCATCTTAACACCCACATTAATTTTAATAAGAATTCAATTTATAAAATTTATATGAAAAAAGTGTATTATATAAGATACTAGCTGAAGTGCCTGGCACTATTGCCGTTGCCAAAAAAATTTGAATAAAAAAAATCGAATTTTGAAAAAAATTTAGATTTTTGAAAAAAAAAATTAGCCTGTGGGTACCCATGGGTTTCCTAAAGAATCAGCCTATTCGGTCCTACCGTTTGGCCAGATATTGCCAATATATAAACATACAAATAATTATATATGAGCTAAGAGCTTTATAGACATACTGTTGCGTATATACAAAAAACTAGCTGGATTAAAAGTGATGTCACATAGATCCAGACTGCTATTAAGTGTTGTATCCATTTCCAAGACTTGGTTGAATTAATTTGAATTTCACCTTACTTACTTACTTCACATAGAAATTATTACTAAACAGTATTATAGAATAGAAATAAGGAATATAATTTCAGTTAGAATATAAAATGTGTTTACAAGTCAAATTAATAAGCTAAAAATTCGAATTCCCTGATAGTGACAGAATTGTTTTACTTCCTCATTTAGACTTTCAATCAATCCCTGTTGGTCAGCTGTATCAAGGTTATATTGTGGGGTTCAAATATGGTCAGCTGTATCAAGGTTATATTGTGGGGTTCAAATATGGGCAACTTTATCTCCCCTGAACCCTTTATTATTCCTATTACAAACTTATTTCCCACAGAATGTTTTGATGTAATGTTCTGATAATCGGCGTTTTGATAATCGACGTTTTGATAATCGACGTTTTGATAATCGACGTTTTGATAATCGACGTTGTGTATCCCCTCCGATCCTCAGGACTTATGGTAAAGGAATTGAGCTGTTGCCACAAACTCTAATATTCTAATCATTAAATCTGTGCAACCCAATGTCGTAAATCTTAGATATTTCAAACTATAAATTCTATTAGATCAAATAATCTAAGTTCGAAATATCAAAGGTTTAAACCATCAGGTTGCAAAGATATTGGGATTACCTTTTGAGTTTGTGGCTCAATGCATTTTCCTATTTCATCTTATTTAAGACTTTTTGTGTTTTTTTTTCGATTTTATTTTTTAAATAAAGGTATCAAGCATACCTTAGTGAATCAGACATTGCTATCTTTGTATGGAGGGTCACTTGAAATTAGCTTACTCTCCCGTTCAGGAAAAAAGAGAAAAGATATTTTTCATGTTATTTTTTGTTTTAGCATCGGGACACCCAGGAAACCCTCGCTGTTCTCGACAGATTAGATTTAGACACGGAGAAACCTAGCGAAGAGGAGATAGCAAAGAGGTTCGGTTTCGAGGATGAGTACATGGAGGGTAGAGTCACCTGGTGGCAACAAACTAAACCAAGAATCTGGTCAATGTTCGATGAACCCTATTCCTCTTCAGCTGCCAAGGTTTGACATTTATCACAATTTCCGAATTTTTAGGGGAAACATTCAAGGGGGTTAATAGCTGTATACTTGTCTGTATATAGCTGAACTGTACACTTACAAATGTTTACTAATAAATGACAGAAGGGGATTATGACCTAACCTACATGTACAGTACATATAATAATCAAATAAGCCATACGCTCTCAGTGCTTAGTTCACGGCCTATACATTATTAAAGGATTAGAGTTCATTATCCCTGTTCCAAGGTTGTATGATAAGGTTGCTTACTGTAGGTGCGCTCCAATGTAAAGGAAATTTCGTCTCCTATAAGCATAGATAGATAAAATCCTCATATGACGTCACTGATTATAAAGATGAGAGTACATTGTAGAGTAAGTAATCTTATTATACAACCTTGCACTCTTCACACTTTAACCTCATTGGAAGCAATCAAATAAGAAACTAAAACAAAATCTTAAAAACCGTATTGGATTGGATACCGTTAATCGTGATTTCTTAATCTCTGTATCTACTGTGGACACTTTTGATTTTATGCATAATCCACTCGTTTGAATTTCTCTGCTGGATTACAACCAATGAGAGTTCGCTCATTAATTGCGAGGGGAAAATTTCAAAATTTCTCGGCGTTTGATTGGCTGTTTTAATCATGCAATCAACACTCTGATTGGTTGAATTTTATACACTCTCCGGGATACAAGCTAAATATTAAATTAATCTTAAGATTAATAAAAAGAAGAAATCAAGCATTGATCTCAAAATCCTCTATTCTAAAGTTTTCATCCCGGTGCAAACTTAATAGAGCTGCAACTCCCTAGTCTTTGGTTTTACATAACTCGCCTCTATATTTTTGTAGCCCTTGTCATGTACAATTTAAAACTACATCGTGATTGTTTCACGATGAACTGTACACTTGTATTATTGTATAAAGTTTTATTGTTTGTCTTAGTTGTTAGTGTTTGTATGTTGCAGTGTTTTGAATATTCCAATAAGCAGTGGGTATCCATAGAATATGGGAGGAATTTGTAATGTTGGCAGATAGGGGTGGGGTGTAAAGAGATAGGCTTTGATTCTTTTAAGGTTTAAAATGTCCCCCACGTTAATCTAAGTCGTCTAAAATATTAAAATTGTGAATTTTAAAATTTTTCTGTTTCATGCACTTTGGCAGATTTTTGCTTAGAGAGATTTTTACATGAAAACAAGCCTGAAGGTTTCCCCCATCAGGTTGCAAAGATAATGGGATTACTTGTCTTTCTTAAAAATGGTTACAGTTTAATTCTGATTATTATACCTATTTATCTATCTATCTCTATTTCTTTCCTAACGCTCCCACGATACAGTCTGGTATTTTCAACAATAGTAATCTTTTTACGACCAATTCTTTTTTAAATTAGAATTTTTTAGTATACTTTTATCATTTTAAGTATGTTGTTGTAGATAGTGGATTTTGTTTTATTGCTTAAAATAGTAATGTCTTATAGTTTTCAATAACGTTTCTTTCATCTTATTTTTGAATTCATTTTACGGCAGGATTCATCTTATTTTTAATTAATTTTACGGCAGGATTTATCTTATATTTGAATTCATTTTACGGCTGGATTTATCTTATTTTTGAATTCATTTTACGGCAGGATTCATCTTATATTTTAATTCATTTTACGACAGGATTCATTTTATTTTTTAATTTTACGGCAGGATTTATCTTATATTTGAATTCATTTTACGGCTGGATTTATCTTATTTTTGAATTCATTTTACGGCAGGATTCATCTTATATTTTAATTCATTTTACGACAGGATTCATTTTATTTTTGAATTCAAGGATTCATCTTATTTTTGAATTAATTTTACGGCAAGATGCATCTTATATTAGAGTTCATCTTATTCATGATCTACATTTTTTATTGTCTATGAAATAGAATTATTCTTATTTACTTTATTTATCTTACAGTGATTACCAGAAAACTGTAGAATAGGAAGACTACATTAAAACACGTATTAAGTATATTAGGTCTGTTTACACTGCATCATTGCTATGCCTCAGGTTCATTGGACTATTTAAAATTAAAACTTGAGTCTAAAAGTCGACTTCCTATTATGATAGAATTATTCATATATTTAGATTAAACTTGAACTTAAATTATTTTTATATTAGAATTTATCTTTCAATACTGCCCTTTATTATCTGGATAAAAGTTAAAATTTAAAAAAAAAGAAATGGCAAAGTTAAAATAAAGGAAGTTAAAATCATATAAAAACATCAACTTTTCCAATCCAAACTTTAATAATTTCTGCTAAGTTCAATAAAAAAATATTTGCGCAAATATTAACTTTTAAAGGGAATACAAAAAATCCATGGTTCAAGTAAAAACCTTTAAACTATAAAAAAGTATAAAATTATATTTTTTTTATTCTGAAAGATTAACAGAAGTATCTCACGCTGATATAACAGTACGGTCCTTTTGATCACAATTAATTCAATTGAACATAAATTTTTTACCTTTTCTATTTTATACTTTTTTGGTCGGATGCGTTAGTGTATTGCATATCCTCAGCTAAGCATATTTTTCACTTATCCAAAGATAGCCCCTATGCCCCCCCCCCCGTGCTTTGATGAACTTGTATTTGAATCTGTATCATGTATCTTTTAAACATATAATTTCATTTAATAAGTTTAACTCGTTTTCAATGATTGATAGTTTTTTCTATAAAACATGCAAAAATTAAATCAATCTCAACCAAATTTTAAAATTAAAAAACTTAAGAAAATCGAAATAGTCAAGGCACATAAATTATTTTCCTCCGGAGCATTGAACAAAAAAAATGCACTTTTTCTATCAGATATGTAAATACATATTTTATTTGTTTTTCTGTAGTTTTATTATTAAATAGACTTTTATGGGAGGAGGATTTTTCTAAAACAAAAACAAGAATAACTACAAACAAAGCTTTCAGGCAAAAATTTAAGGGTTAAATTGTTGTTTTTCAAGCGACAATATTATCTTCATGTTTGTAAAACTCAAAATTTTGCAGATTTTTCTAAAAACATGGATAGAATTCAAAAATCTAACAAAAAGACATTTTTCTAGGCAAATTTTTTCACTTTTAACTTTCCATAAACCTATCTTGGGGTTGTAGGACTTGCCACAAAAAATACGGCCCGATCGATACAGCTATTTTGACGTTTATTAAATACAGCAAAACAATCCAAATTTATATGCAGAATGGAGGAAATCCAAACTATTTTAGTATATTTGGATATATTTTTATCCTGTTCAGTAGATATATTTTTATCCTGTTCAGAAGATATATTTTTATCCTGTTCAGAAGATATATTTTTATCCTGTTCAGAAGATATATTTTTATCCTGTTCAGAAGAAATATTTTTATCTTGTTCAGTAGATATATTTTTATCCTGTTCAGTAGATATATTTTTATCTTGCTCAATAGATATATTTTTATCCTGTTCAGTAGATATATTTTTATCCTGTTCAGTAGATATATTTTTATCTTGTTCAGTAGATATATTTTATTCTGTTCAGTAGATATATTTTTATCTTGTTCAGTAGATATATTCTTATCCTGTTCAGTAAATATATTCTTATCCTGTTCAGTAGATATATTCTTATCCTGTTCAGTAGATATATTTTTATTCTGTTCAGTAGATATATTCTTATCCTGTTCAGTAAATATATTTTTATCCTGTTCAGTAGATATATTCTTATCCTGTTCAGTAAATATATTCTTATCCTGTTCAGTAGATATTTTTTATCCTGTTTAGTAGATATATTTTTATCCTGTTCAGTAGATATATTTTTATCCTGTTCAGAAGATATATTTTTATCCTGTTCAGTAGATATATTTTTATCCTGTTCAATAGATATATTTTTATCTTGTTCAGTAGATATAATTTTATCTTTTTCAATAGATATATTTTTATCCTGTTCAGTAAATATATTCTTATCCTGTTTAGTAGATATATTTTTATCCTGTTCAGTAAATATATTCTTATCTTGTTCATTAGTTATATTTTTATCCTGTTCAGTAGATATATTCTTATACTGTTCAGTAGATATATATTCTAATCAATACAATTCTTAATATTCTTCACACTGCACAAAATGAGAAACATTTCAAGTTGTCACTTTATTTCTCCCATATTGTTCTATGAATAATGATGGTTGGTAAAGTTTTACAAGTTTTTAAAACTTTTAAGTAAGGTAGATTATGTGCTCTAACCACCACAAAAAATAAACAAAACAAAAACTTCTACAATGTTCCATTCTGGGTTTAATTTACAAATATTTATCAAGCTAAAATATCCAATAGGTTTCTCTCGCGCAGATATATGCAGCATAGACAGAAAATATTCGGGTGCAGATACTTAATTAATTAATATTAAACAAGTTTGTATCGAATTATAACTAATTACCCTTTTCATTTTCCGCGAACACTCCCTTTACAGAAAAAAACGTGTGATTAATGGAGAGAGGAAGGGTATCAGGTGTAGAGACAGTATATATTGGGTTATACTAGTGAAATAAGAAATATTTTGTAGCATTATTGATATTTTGATATTGCAACAAAGTTTTAAATTTTATTATTTTAATAAAATAATCCCGAAATGATAAATAAAGATGGTTGGAAAAAGCAAATAAATTAAAGTTTTGACAAAAAGAAGTTGAAATAAAAGAGAATTAATTAATCCATTATTCAAGAGATAAATGCAGTTCTTGGTTTTGATTCTGTAAGATGTGAAAAGGACTGATTCTGTAAGATATTAAAGGGACTGATTCTGTAAGAAATTAAAGGGACTGATTCTGTAAGATATTAAAGGGACTGATTCTGTAAGATATTAAAGGGACTGATTCTGTAAGATATTAAAGGGACTGATTCTGTAGGATATTAAAGGGACTTATTCTGTAAGATATTAAAGGGACTGATTCTTAAACTGAACTCTCTCACAAGCATTTCTGATTTGAATAGGCTGCAGTCAAACCTCACTTTGGGACATTTAATCTCTCTATAGGGAAGCTCAGTGTGTATCCATTTACAGTAAACGATATACTGCAGGAAGTACGCTGCTTAATATATTCTTAGAAAAGGAAGGAAAAAGTCCAGTTCTTAGTTAGTAGCAAGGTTAAAATGCAAGGAAAGTTAATTGCAGTTGCGTATACTCTGCGTACATATTGAAACCAGTTCTCTCTAGGCGGATTTTATAAACAAGAATAGATGCATCATTGTCAGTTTATTATCCGAGGAGGTTAAAAGCATTGAATTTTGATAATTTTGATAATTCACATAATAGTTTCCTATGACCAGAATATTTCATTGATTATTTATGTTAAAGATGGATCCCATGTCAGGCTTGGACATCCGTCTTGTGTTTACATTACCGCCCAGAGACAGAACATGCAGTACAAAAGATGCGAACACCTCTGAAATAACTTTCCTTGCATTATAACCTTGGTTAGTAGGGTCATTTGGTAAAATACAGTATATCGTGTACGCTTAACTTCCTCACAGAGAGACAACCCATTTGGCAAGGAGGCCGAACTGCTTTTTAAAATCAGAAACATTCCACTTCTGAGGAAGTTAGGTTTTGGGTCGCGGATATACAGTGCAAAGCATTCAGAAATAAAAAAATATCCTTATAATGAAATATAAGGATTAAACCTGAAAACAAAACAAAGTTATCCGACCCTCCATTTGAAAACAAACTTATATTTTTTAATTTGAAGTTTTTGTCAACTTTTATTTCTCCTAATCCGTCTAAAATATTTTGATGAGTTGAATTTGAACAAGTTTGCTAGTTTTATTCGGTTTACAGGTTCAGGGAAACTTATCATTGCATTGCTGAAAACTAGATTTTTTGCGAAATTTTGCATTTTGTTGCAAAAGGAAAAGTTAATTTTAAAGAAATATTCACTTTTAAAAACAAAAAATGATTTTCCATGTATCGAGTTCTTGAGATAAGTTTATCAAACTATTTATCTTAATATGTTTAGAAATGTTAAGAATTTGGGTTATTTTTGACTTTGCTTGGATATTTTCGTTAAAAGATGACATTTTATTCATAATTTCATTGAAAACCCCGGGATCGGGAATCTACCAATCTAGAAACGGTTTCAAAACTAGAATTACACTGTGGAGGATTGATTTTTCAACTTAAAGATATTGTTGTTCTAGTTGTGCATGCCCAATTTTCACCAGTACCCTTGTGTTAATTCTTGACAATTTCCTCTAATGTTTCTGTGGAAAAAATCCGCAACTATTTTTATAACGATTAAGGTTCAAAAATGGATATCTCATTCATTCATAATCATAAAGTTAAAGTAAAGAATACTTTTTTCTATTTTTATCATTTTTATTTCCATAATTAAAGAAAATCTTCAACTATTAAATGTTTAGGTGATTGGTGTGATCTCCGTGTTCTATATCTGTATATCAATTCTATCCTTCTGCTTGAAAACCCACCCTGATATGAGAGTCCCAGTGATACGGAACATAACGGTTCGGAGCGGAGGAAATATGACATCCTGGACTCTAGATAAACACAGTACTAACGCTCATGATGCCTTCTTCTACATAGAGTGCATCTGTAACGCCTGGTTTACAATAGAAATATTAGTTAGGTTAGTGACCAAACCACGTGAAAAAAGAAATGTTCTTTCTCTAAAACTTTCGATGTAGAATGCGAAGGAATTAAGTTTTCTCAGAAACCAAATTTCGAATGCATATATCTTTTAACTTTATGGTGATATTTCAAACTTAGATTATTTGATCTAATAGAATTCATCGTTTGAAATATCAAAGGTCTATTACATTATGATGCAAAGTTATAGGGATTAAAAAATCAGAGTTTGTGGCAAAAACTTCTAAAAAAAACTTCTATAATTCCTTGGTTCAAGAGATTATAAAGTTAATTTGAAATAAACCTTTAATTCAGTGATATGGTTACTGAAGTAGTAAAGGACATCTGTAGTTGGAGTTTATTAAAATTACGTTTACAATTCCTTTATTGTTGTATGTTTATCCACTCTGATAAGGGTTTTTTTAAAAGTAACTTTTTACAGACTGAAAGTTCTAAAATTTCAATTTTCTTATAATAATTTGTTCAGAACAAGATAATTCGATACCTATATTCCTAACTGGATTTTGAACAAAATACATTTGAGAATTGTTTACTTAGGAAATTCTCCTAACACCCTCTAAAAATGATTTTAAGTTTAGAAAATATTTGACGCAAACAAACTTTTCTATTTAGGTTTATTTCCTGTCCAAACAAATGGGATTTTCTAAAATCTTCTGTCAATGTGATAGATTACATCGCTACCCTCAGTTTCTACACAGACCTGGTCCTACAGCACCTCGTGGCACATATAAAGAACGCGGACGTATTTGAGTTCTTCAGCATTATTCGAATCCTTCGTCTTTTCAAACTTACGCGGCATTCTTCCGGGCTCAAGATCCTGCTTCAGACATTCCGCGCCTCTGCGAAAGAGTTGATGCTCCTCGTGTTCTTCCTTGTCCTTGGTATCGTTATATTCGCCAGCTTAGTCTACTACGCGGAGAGAATCCAGGTACATCACACATCTCTCACACTAGGGTGTAGAATCAAAACAAGATGTTAGGATCCAGGTACATCATACATCTCTCACACTAGGGTGTAATCAAAACAAGATGTTGTTATGATCCAGGTACATCATACATCTCTCACATCATACATCTCTCACACTAGGGTGTAGAATCAAAACAAGATGTTGTTATGATCCAGGTACATCATACATCTCTCACACTTGGGTGTAGAATCAAAACAAGAGTTGTTATGAGCACGTAATGTCGTACCAGTAATTAAACTAGAGTAAACTACATTCAAACAAATTGTTTAAATCCTGAAATGCAAGCAAACAAGTTTACTTAGTTTTGGGTTTAGAATTAAAACTTGAGAAGTTATGAGGACATAAAGTTGTAACAGTAATCCCGCATCATCTGGACCAATTGTTCCATAAATCTAGTTTGGAGTGACCGTAATTAAATTGGGATTCTGGAGAAAAAAAGATAAATCTAACAGTTTTTGCATATTCACCGTGTACCGAACAAACTGCACTCTCATTTAATAAAAAAATGTTACTGAAACATAAAACCAAGGGTTTAGATTCAATATCCATGAAAGTATTTCCTTTTCTTATTTTGCTATAAAAGAAAACTGCAAGGTTGTTAAACTCAGAAATTTTTTATCCTTAAAATGAGTTCAAGACACAGTGAAAGATAGATTTGTTATCGAAAATTCTGAATTGCATCTCGGTTGGACGAGAAGAATGAAAAGAAAACGGTTTAAATAGATAAAACTTTGATTATTAAAATTGTTTGTTTCAAAACATGTTTAAAAATATCATTTATTGCTTTTTAATTTTAAATCCCACCTGGGACCAAGTTTAATGAATATGAGAAGAAGTTGAACTACGTGATCTGCATCTACACAATTTCACGAGAGAACTTTTTGAATCGATGGTACGTTGTCCAGTTCAGCTACTTCTCTCTATTGATAAAATCAACTCAACAGTCATAAAGAATTCTATTACCTACCTATGATTCCCCAAACAGAGGGAAGTTCCCCCAACAGGGGATGTTAAGTAACTTAACGTCACTTGGGACAAATAACTTAAATATCCACCCGCTATGCGAAGTTTTCGTAAACAAAAATCGCACATTTTCATCTTAAAATAAAATAAAATTGCGTACCACTATTTTTTCAATAAAATTAGAAATCTTATTTACACACGGGTTCTCTCGGCCAATTTTGCCTACAGAACATTCATAGTGCAGTCTTATTATTAAAATATCCTTAACTTCCCTGTAAAGTGGTTCTAAATAATTATAACTCTTGGTTTTATTTATCTCTCTACGGTTTACATCTATTTAACCACCCTTGCTCCCGCAGATTTGTTTTAAATAACCAATATCTATTTGCAACCTCCTTGATTGTATACATCCACTTGAAACTCCTTAATCCCACACATCTAATTGAAATTCTTTCACTAGCTTAAAGATCTACTTAAAACTTGTTAATGCTCTTAAAACTCTTTGTATCACAGATCAACGTAATTTTTTGTTCCGCAGATTAGCCTAATTCGTACTTCTTAATCTTTTATATTATACTTTCAAACTTCCAAATCTAACTGATTACCTTGAAACTTCTTAACCTCACTAATCACATTGAAACTTCTTAATCTTATACATTAGACTTTCAAACTTCCAAATCTAACTGATTACATTGAAACTTTTTAATCTAATTGGCCAATTTCAAACACCTTAATCACCTTGAAACTTTTAATTTCACTGATCAACTAGAAATTTCTTAATATTACTGATCACGTACCTTGAAACTTCTTAATCTACTTGATCACTTAGAAATTCCTTAATCTCACTGAAGACTTGAAACTTTTGTATTTCACTAATCAACTTGAAACTTGTTATTTTTACTAATTAACTTTAAATTTCTTGATATTACTGATCACCTTAAAAAAAACTTGAAACTTCTTAATCTAACTGATAAATTTTAAACTTTTGAATTTTACTGATCAGCTTGAAACTTATTGATTTCACTGATCATCTTAAACCTTCTTGAAATCTTTAATAAAATTAAAACTTTGGAATTTTATGGACCAATTTGAAACTTTTGATTTTCACTGATCAACTTGAAACTTCTTAATCTTACTGATCACCTTGAAACTTCTTAATCTACTTGATCACTTTGAAATTCCTTAATCTCACTGACGACTTTAAACTTTTTAATTTTACTAATAAACTTGAAACTTCTAAATCTTGGTGACCGCCTCAAAACTTTTTAATTCTGCTACAGTTCTAAATCCCTATTTCAATCATCATTTACATAATTTGGGTTAATTTGATTAATTTATATAATTCAGTTTAATTTTATTGAGTCATATAATTCAAGCTAATTTTTTTATTAATATAATTCAGGTTAATTTTTTAATTCATAAAATTTAGGTTAATTATATTGATTTATATAATTCAGGTTAATTATATTCAGGTTAACCCTGGGAATGATTTCAGTTCTATTCCTCTGGGTTTATGGTGGGCCCTGGTAACTATGACTACGGTAGGATACGGAGATATGGTTCCTAAAACCTATCTTGGAATGTTTGTTGGAGCTCTGTGTGCTATGGGAGGAGTACTGGTCGTTGCACTTCCGGTTCCGGTGATAGTCTCCAACTTTGCTATGTACTATTCTCATACTCAGGTATATATATATTATCTAGGATTTATTATCAGGGGCGTACAAAGGAATTTTTTAGAGGGGGGGGGGAGGGCTAAACCTTTTATAACTTTTTGGGAGAAACCTTGGGAACCCTAGTTTTTAGTTTTTCATTGGAGCCCCATCACATTAATCTCACTAGAAGTTGATGATTCATTTAATGTACTGCTTCATCTTGCCGTCTATACGTACGCTACCTGCCATAGACGTAATTTTAAATGACATTGTAATAAATTGGGACTTCCCTTTTTGCATGGAGGATCACTCGAAATTGCTCGTACAGTCCCTTTAATGCCAAGAGGGACTGCCTGTAATAATTAAACCTCCACTAGGTTAAGTTTAAACTATTTGAAATCTTGATGTATCGAATTATTAGTTTTAAACTAAATTATATTATTGAATTATATATTAAATTTATTATAAAATATAACATTTTAAATAAAATGAACAAATAAGGCAAACAATTATCAATTAAAAAGTCCAATTAATGGTTTACAAGAAGCCCCTTTAAATCTTTATTTGTAGCGAAACATATTTTTTCTCTTTTATCTAAAAATGCTCAACCTAAAAGTCTTGGCTTTTTAACGAAAAAGCATGCAAAGAAAAGAAAGAAAATTTAAAATATTTTGTCGATGAAAGGTTCAAATGAAGAAAATAAAACATATTATAAAGTATGAAGTTCAATTTTTAATTATTTTGTTCAAAAACAGGTTTTTTATAAATAGGGCTTTTTAGCAGGTTTTCTAATACTTATGAACAGACTTCTTTTAAAACAGGTTTTCTTGTAAACAAGGGTTTGCTTTGGGTGGGTTTTTCTTTGAGCAGGTTTTCTAATAAACAGGTTTTCCTTTGAAAAGGATTTCCTTTGATTAGGTTTTTAATAAACAGGGTTTCTCATGAACAATTTTTTTTATAAACATGGTGTCTTATAAACAGGCTTTCTTTTTAACAGGTTTTCTTATGAACAGGGTTCCTCATAAACAAGTTTTCTNTAGCTGATATTCAGGACGGTTTTCTACAAACGCCCACCTCATGCAAATACTTTTTGTTTTGTTTGATTCTGAAATAGAAAAAAAATGGTGATATCAAGTATGAATGTGAAGGGCTTCAGGGAAAGCTGAAATATTATAAAAATACCGTTAACTCTCCCCCTGGGCTAACCGTGTTTTATCTTGGTTATAACTTGCAGGGATTGAACATTTCAATTTACAAACATTTTAACTTTCTGATCTGAACAGTTCAGGTTCCAAAACCTTTAATATTATATTCATAGGGAACACAAGGAATAAAAGGGAAATTAGTATTTCTAATCATAACATCAGTTTTATAGTAGGGAGGATAAGAAAACATTCAAGGCTCACAGGAGATCAGGAGAATATATCAGGATTTACTAGAGATCAGGAGAATATATCAGGATTTACTAGAGATCAGGAGAATATATCAGGGTTTACTAGAGATCAGGAGAAGATATCAGTTGCAGTATGCAGTATGCAGTTGGCAAAGTGTAAATAAAATGTACACAGTGAACCTTCACTGATTGACTTTTATCCTCAGAATATATATATTCTGAGCTTTTATCTATTCTAGGCTCGAGCTAAGCTACCTAAGAAGAGAAGAAGGGTGATAAATGTAGATATTCCAGTTGGAGGAGGTAGAAAAGGTAAATATCTACACTAAATACATAATTGTAAATGTAAATGTAAATAATTGTAGAAAAAAGGATGAGAGTTAAAAGACGACTGTACAGAACATTTAAAGTCTATGTTCTATACTTGCATATATATATGTTTCCCTACAGCACAGTAAGTTTGTTTGTTTAATTGCTAAATCATTAAATATGCTAAAAAGACACTATATATGTAAAAAAAGACTAAATTAAGTCCCAAGGGCGTTATATTTAGAGAATTTCAGATTGTCATGAAAGACTCAATCTTTTTGGTTAAAGTGTGTGTACACTGTACAGTGTTACCATTACTAAGGATATGAGTTCAGAAACAACTGCACATTCATGGTTGCAGATAAAGTAAACTTCAAATATTTTCCAAATCAAATAGTTTACCAAAATGTTTTCCATTAAAGGAATTGCAAGTTGTTGTAACAAACTCTGATTTTCTAGCACTATATCTTTGCAACCCGACCTTAAATATTTCAAACTACAATTTATATTAGATCAAACAAAGAGATCCAGATTGCTTTAAAAAGTTTCACACATTTACAGGAGGAGGAATGACAGCTAACGGATTGAAAGTTGCTACTCTAGGGAATAGAATGGGTAAGTCGTAAATCTTATAGTTCGCTTGTTCATTAATAATATCAGTCACAAAAGATAAGAGAATTGTTTAAATAAGGACTCTCATGGCCAAATTGGCCTCTATAAAACATCCTAAATATAGGTAATTTCCATACAAATCTTATATTCTTTGACTTTTTTGAGAGTTTTTGTTAACAAAAACTTTTCAGTCCAGGATATTATTTTACATAATATCCCCAAGGAACAGTTAAATAACATAACATACCACCAAAGTGTAAATGGTTCGCTAATGTTCAGAAAAGGCTGAGAATAAAATAGAGATAAATAAACCACCTTGGCATTACACCAGTACGTAAATATATACAATAAAGCTCAACGCTAATTCATATGTAATCTACAGCTAATCAAACGGCAGGACCAAAGAATTTTAATATTTTTATAGCTCGTAATTTATCTTGAAGAAAAAAGGCCGTAACATAATTACTTTTATAATAATGTCATACATTAGTAACCATAGAACAATACAAAATTCTTCGTCGTTTTATAAGTACTAAAGAAATGTTGATTATCGTATTTGTAATCGTTCAAATTTATATATGTATGAATTGTCAGGCATATCGTTAGAAAAAAACTAAGTTTTCAGATATTCTTTAAAGGGACTGTAAGCATAATTTCAGATATTCTATAAAGGGACCTGTAAGCATAATTTCAGATATTCTATAAAGGGACTGTAAGCATAATATTAGTAGATCCTTCATGAAAAGATGGCAATGTCCGATTTTCAACGGTTCCCTTTATACCCTAAACTGATAATCAAGATCAGAAAACTCCAAAATCTTTTTTACATATATATGTCCAATTAGTTATTTTGATGAATCCGAACATAAATATTTATTTCTTCCATTTATAGATTGTTAACAATAATATCTGTTTTATAAAACAGTTTGCAAATCAGGTGTTTAACAATTTTACAGACGTTTCTGCAGATTAAATAGGATAAGTTCGACATCCTTGATCATTTAAAGATTTAAAGGGGCTGCGGTGAATCGGACATGCCACTCTATAGATGGAGGGTCACCTTACATTACGTTTACAGTCCCTTTTAAACCTTTTAAATTTTTTAAATTTCATATTCATGAACATGAATTAGCCGCAAATGTAAAGTAAAAGGAAAAGGTATTGAATTAGTCTCCCTTAATTACTTTTGAGGTTATTTTCCGGCTAACTCTAACTTTTGTGGGGGCCAAACTAAACTTAAAGGGACTATAAGCGTAATTTAAAGTGACCCTCCATGCAAATATGGTAATGCTAGATTCACAACGGTACCCTCGATACCTTTATATGATCAAAAATGAGGAACTTGTTGTTGTTTTTCGAGATTTAAAAGTGTTTTATTCTGTTAATTTCATATGTTTCCTGTAGCAGAAATGCGCAAGTCACTTTTGAGAGAAGCCACTATTGAAAATAACCAGTGTTCAATATTATAAACATTGCTATATATCTAATATACTCAATCAGATAAAAGTTTCAAGGGTATATCGTATATCGGACATTGCCATGTTTACATGGATGGCCACTTGAAATTACGCTTACAGTCCCTTTAAACAGAGAAAGAGAAAATGTTGACAAAGTTCTAGGTATTTCCTGCTGGTAGAAGTATTTTATGAGTTTATTAAAACTTTTCTCCAAAGGCAGAAAATGGTCAGATAATTCTATATTTTTGTGTTTCTGTGTTGTAGTTTAATACGAAAGAAGGGACAAAATTGGACCCCCTCCCACATAGATCCAGACTGCTATATAATGTTACATCAATTTTTAAGACTGGGTAAATTTTAAAGTGTTGCAACACCTTGGCCTTTGATTCTTTCTCACAAACTCCCATACACTTTTTGTAGTCTTTATGTACTTTTCAGAACTGTAAAACACTTGTTAAAGATTTACTATTTTTAAAACGTAATTGGCCAAATTCTCGTAGATTTTTGCGTGAGAGTGCCCCCCCCCCCACACCATTTATTTACTTGATGGCTTTATCTGAATATGTACATTAAAAGTATTTACCAGCATATGATCTAAACATGTCAATATATATTTATTAAGAAAGAAAGAAAACAACTTTTTATGTCCCTTATTCATCATGATTATTGGTAAAAGGTGATAATTTTTCAGTTTTGAACGTTAAATAAAGTTTTCGGGAATAGCTTTCTTAATGTGGACTCTTTTATTATAGCGTGGAAATTACTTACAAACTGAGTTTGAAAATCAATTTCCCTAAATTTTTTAATTCATTAGAAAAATAGATTAACATGAAATTATTTTACATCCTGGGGATATAATCAGTACTGTACATGTACATTGTACAACCGTGCACAGTTATTCTACTAGTCACTCACGCTTCAAGTTTTTTATTGTCAATTCTAACTGAGCTTGATTTTTTAATCACTAAGTTTTATTTCAAGAAGAAACGAGTATTGGATGAGTGAAATTAATGTAATTAGTTCTTACAGAAAAAAAACTCATCGAAAATAATAATTTTTGGGCGAGAATTGTTGCTCTCTAAATGAAATAAAAGTGAAAACTTTAAATTGTTTAGATTTCTATATTAGATATTTTGGCTGCACTGAGTTTCATTAAAAGTTTGAAAAGTAATTCAAGTTTCAAGTTTGCAGAGCAGACCTTTACTCTGTACTCTGTACACAATACAAGTTGTAAAAATATATTTATATTTTGATAAAATGTTATTATTACCTTACAGCAAAGATTTAATACAGCCAGCAAAGGACTTTATTGATGATTATAAACTCGACAAAAGTTTGGGACTGATAGAAAGCATGTTCATTTGTTGATAAAAAAAGACTGGTTGATTAGACTATTCAGCTGCATCATAGTCAGGATAGAATAGACTATTCAGCTGATAGTCAGGATAGAACAGACTATTTAGCTGATATTCAGGACAGAATATATTTATCAGCTGATAGTCAGGATAGAACAGACTATTCAGCGGATAGTCAAGATAGAACAAACTATTCAGCTGATAGTCAGGATAGAACAGACTAATCAGCTGATATTCAGGACAGAATATATTAATCAGTTGATAGTCAGGATAGAACAAACTATTCAGCTGATAGTCAAGATAGAACAAACTATTCAGCTGATAGTCAAGATAGAACAAACTATTCAGCTGATAGTCAAGATAGAACAGACTAATCAGCTGATAGTCAAGATAGAACAGACTATTCAGCTGATAGTCAGGATAGAAAGGACTCTGAACTTTACGGACAGATGAAACTAAAAGAAAATAAAAAATTTGAAATTAAAACAACCCTTTTTGGATTTCAAATGACAAAAATCAGCTGGATTTGACCTAGGACTGATTTCAGATCAAGAGAGAACTGGATCCGATCAGTCCAACCAAAAAATCCCTTTGTTGTCTAAACAGACATCAGAGATGAATATTTATGAACCTGGAGAAGGTAAAGGGTTGAACCCAACCTTGCATAATGCATCCTGCACCTTGTTCCCTCACATCTCCTTTTCTCAAGCACAGCTCCACTATATATTCTGTATATAAAGGAATTGAATCTTTGCCACAAACTCAAATTTTCTATATCTTTATAACCTGATGGTGTAAACCTTTAATAATATAATTAGATTATTGGATTTAGCTAACAAAATTCATAGTTTGAAATATATAGGGATTAGAAAATTAGAGTTTGTGGCAAAGACTCAATTCCACAGAACATCAATCTTTAAGAAGACACCAATAATATATTTTCAAACTTTGACACATTTTTTACTTTTAAAGGGAGTGTTCGCGAAAAATGAAAGGGGGTATAGGTTTAATGCGATAAAAAAAGCGCTTTTGATCGCTAATAATCTTACTTCTATCTGTTGCGTCTATCAGGAGAAAATTGTTAAAGACGTCTCAAACCGAATAACTTAGCGGCCACTCACGAACACTCCCTTTAAATTGAATTAAAAATAGCCACAAATTGTATATTTTTTTTAATCTGATTTGAATGATAAAGTTTTAATCTCATTTTACCAGCGCACTGAACATTTTTCGTTAAATATTACACAACACAAATATTCAATTTTTAAAAGTTAAATATAAAAAATATTTTCTTTAAAGGAATTCAGTTTTTGCCACAAACTCAAATTATCTAATCCCTATATCTTTTCAACCTGATTGTGTAAACCCTTGATATTTCAAACTTAGATTATTTGTTCTAACCAAATTTAAAGTACAAAATATCCTAGGTTTACGACATTGGGTTGCAAAGATGAGGGACTAGAAAATCAGAGTTTGTGGCAAAGACTCAATTAATTTAAGGAAAAAAAATAAGTTGACTGTTTCCTCTTTTCCCGGTATAAGTCCTGATAGGTTAATTAACAAGACACTGGAAATTCTAACCTTACTTTGATTTTATAGATCAGTAATGTCGTCTTCACAACAGTCTCGTGTCTAATGATTACCTTTCTATCTAATCAGATAATAAATTTGGCGAGATTCTCATATATATTGAACCTTGAATATATATCCTAGATCCTTCAAGATCTCCTGATTCAATGTATCCTGGATTCTTCAGGATCCTTTAGAATATTCTAGATCCTTCATGATATCACATTGTGTTCTAGATCCTTCAGGGTATCCTAAATCCTTCCCAATATCCTAGATTAGTCAGAATATCCTTGATTATTCAGCTAATCCTGGATCCGTCCATATATTCTGATATTTGAAATATTGGTATCCTAAAATCTAATATATATATATATATATATCCCGGAACCCGAACCTTAACCTTAATTAGAGCTATAGTTTACGTAAGATAAACAAAACTAATTAATCATCTAAATAGAGATAGAATTTTTACTTTAACTAGAAATATAGATTACTGCAGTGTGTTAGGATTATCTCAAGTAAAATAGATAATTTATCTTGATAATCCTATCACAATCTAAATATTAATTTATTATCAATAACATGTTAAAATTTTTTTTTAAATTCAGCCCCCCCCCCAAACAAAAAAAGGTGGGGTATCAGGGGATGGTTAGGCCACTTACAATTTCTTTTTGAGAGAAGTATGTATGTTGCGTGAAAGTTTGAAAAATCTGACGGAAAAAAAAAACACTTTAAATGGGTATTTTATGCACGAGTATTCTGGCGTGTTTTTGACGCCTCAAAATCTGTTATTAATGGTTGTTAAAATATATTTCTATGTCTAAATTATCCTGAATTCATTCTAATTTCTTGTAAAAAAGCTAAAAAGCATATGTTTTTTTTTGCCAATTATTACGTGTTCTGTGACCTCTGCAAATATACATAATTAGGCGGATTTACTGAATTGTTTCATGGAAAATGGTACGAACGCGAAAAGTAATTAAATATTGAAATTATTTTAAATCAATGCAAACTACTTAACACAATGTTTGTAAATGAAAAGATATAACGTATACATTTATTTTGTCCATTCTCATAATATGAAGAGTGTGACAAAACCAGTCCCCCTTCCCCCTAACCTCTAATATCCCACTGTGCCCCCCCCTCATCCCTCCCTTCCAGTTCTCTGGTATGTCCTATTGAAAGTTCGTAAATTGGCTGCTATAAATCTTGGAAAATTCTTATATATGTACATTGTATAAACGATCCCACTTTAGTCTTGCTCAGCTCACTTCTCATATTTTCAATTCTTCTCATAATTTCACTTTTCTAGGAGAAACTTGTCTACGTAGGAAAGTATTCTTTGCTTCTTTATATTTTTATTTTTAATTTGTTGGTAAAATACTTTAAAATATTTTCTCGTAAAACGTCCTAATCTGTAAAAGTTAAATAAAAATGATGACAAATTATATGTAGAGTTATCTCGGAAACATTTTTCATTCGGAAACATACTTCGTACTAAATAATGGATGATTTGTAGAAATGTTCAAATAAAAAAGATATGAATTTATTTGTTTTACTCAATTCAAAGGTGAACTTTTCCAATGGAGGATATTTCATTTAGAGTAAATTAAAGATTACAAATTCATTTAGACATGACATTCAAAACATTTAGGATTCATAAAATTAAATTTTTGAAATTTTTAGTTAAGTATCGCTAATCTTAAACACTTGATCTCGATCTCCAATGTGGGAACGTTTAAGGAACTGATTTTTTTTCCACAAACTCAAATTTTCGAATCTCTATATCTTTGCAACCTGATGGTGTAAACCTTAGACATTTCAAACTTATACATATACTATTTTATGTATTATTTATTTATTAAAATATTTTTCAATGTATCTACTCTATAGAAGTGCTTTCATTTAAAATGTCACATGAAATATATAAATTCTAATTATGAAATGTCCTATTTATTAAAATATTTTCTTTCATTTCATTTAAAATTTCTATCAAACTAAGATATCAAGCACTTTATATCTTCAATATTCTTGTTTATTAAATCTCCCAGTAGGATGATAACCAGCTTGTTGAAACATAGAAAAATACAAAGTGATGACTTGCTTTAATCAAAATTTAAAATAGAACTAAAAAAAGAAAAGATAAAAAGTGGACTGAACAGATATTAAATTGATATAATTTTCAGAATATCTTTCAATAAAAAAGTGTTCAATAAAAAGGATGAAAGGATGAAAGAGATGATATTAGGGGCGTATTCAGAAATTTATCCAGGGGGGGAGTACATTTTTTTCTTTCCAAAGGGGGGACTCAGCACCCGTTTGACCTGAAAACCCCTGAAATCAATATATTTCACTTGTCCAGGGGGGGACTTAGCCCCCCATAGCCCCCCCCCCTCTGAATGATATGAATAAAAGCAATATTTTGAGAAGAAGAAGGTGGAATATTGACAGTATTTTTCATATCAGATGTCAGTAAGAGTGAATAATTAACTTCAGGGAGAAAAAAAAATAAAAAAGTAAATAATTTTACAAATATTCAGACTAAATAATTTTACAAATATTCAGACTAAATAATTTTACAAATATTCAGACTAAATAATTTTACAAATATTCAGACTAAATAAATACAACAGCTCATTCATACAAAGGAAATTAATTTTCATGCCACATTATTCCAGTTAGCGTATATATTCAATTTATTGTCCGCATTTTTTTTACTATCCATCGATTTTGTTATCAATTATCAATATTTTAAAATAAATTGCATGATTATATTATCCTTTGATTTTTCCCCGTTGATTTATCATTCATCAATTATATTATCAATTGATACTTTTTTCATTGATTCTATTATCCAATGATTTTATAATCCATAGATTCTAATATTCATTGGGTCTTTCACCCATTCATTCTATTATTCATTGATTCTATTATCCAATGATTTTATAATCCTTAGATTCTAATATTCATTGGTTCTTTCACCTTTTCATTCTATTATTCATTAATTCTATTATCCATTGATTTTATTGTCCATTGATTCTATTGTCCATTGATTTTATTATCCATTTATTTAATTCCTTCATTCTATTATCCGTTGATTTATCATCCATCAATTCTCTTATTCATTTATTATATTATCCATAGATTATCTATTAACTATATTATCCATGACGCAACTTTCCAATGGTTATTATTATCCAATTATATACTATCCAATGGTTCTATTATCTAATGGTTGTATTATCTAATGATTCTCTATCCAATGGTGCTATTACCCAAGGGTTCTATCATTCGATGATTTTACTTTCTAATGGTTCTATTATCCAATGGTTCTACTATCCAATGGTTCTAACATCCAATGGTTCTATAAACTGATGGTTCTACCATCCAATGGTTATAATATCCGATGTATCTACTATTCAATGGTTCTACTATCCAATGGTTCTATAATTATATTATATATATTATTATATTATATTATATATTCCGATAATTATATTTTACCAATGGTTCTTGTCCAAAATACCCTGGTAAGTTGTATCTATTGTATTTCTGGTTCCAAGCCAATTCTTATCTAAATCCTGGAGTTTTCGCTACATTTCCCCTTTTCTCCTCCAGATACTAGGAGTCTCTTGGGATTCCCTTCTGTAAACCTTCCACTTCAAACTTCAGAAATATTTATCGCTTTCTTAATTTTCTTTTTTATTTTACAATCTCCTTTAGTTTTCTTTTTACTTCTTGGTAATACCCTAGAGAACGATTTTAGGACCCCCCCCTTCCTATCAATTTTGTACATGGTTCTCATATGCATCACAAGAATATCATTGGTCGTGTGGCCGCAGTGCCCTACCCCCTAGCCTTTAATAGCCGCGGTGCTCGGCCCCCTAGCCTATCCTAGCCGCAGCGCTCGGCCCCCTAGCCTGTCCTAGCCGCAGCGCTCCGCCCAGAAATTGTCTTAACCTAACCTAACCCTAAAATAATAGGAAAGGGGGGGGGATAAAAAAATCATTCTCTAGGACAGAACCTACTTTTTTTTAACTAGTTTCGATATAATTCTAACTGTTACAAATT